ACGGAAAAAGAGGCGAAAAAAGAAAAGAAAAAGAAAAACCTCCAACGTCGCGCCGCAATGTCTCGTCGGACTGCATTTGTATATATATGTACGTTATATACATGCATACGTTTGTATTGACATAACTGCACGCGCGCGTCTCTTTCGCGCGCACAGGTATTTACGTAATCGTTTATCGTAATATTATTTTTAGCATTTTTCTTCTTTTTCTCCGTTCGTCTCTTTCTCTCTCTCTCTCTCGTGAGCAAGAATGTAGCGTGCGTTGTCTCGTCGTCGCGCTTTTTTACCTTTATATACTTCGCGAGCGCGCGCGACAATGCCGAGAAAGAGGAAAGAAAAAGAGAAGACAAAAAAATTACAATTCGCTTGATATAAAACACAAAGAGACGTTTCGTCGCAAGCGCGATAATAAGGAACGAGAAAAAAAAGTGCGTGCGTACACGCGCGATATAATTTACAAAAGATTTTAGCATTGACGATCTCTGCGTTATATGCGACGCTCGCGGGGAGAGGAAAGAAAATGATGATCAATCCAGCGTTTATTACCGCGCCGCGACGTATACGAGGCTCGCACGCGTGCGGCACGCACGCGGAGGAAACTCGAGTTCGACTAAAAGCTCGCGCGCGGGGGCTCGTGTACGTATATCAACGCACGCTATAACATATAATAAACCGCCGCCGAGTTGTATCGCGATCCGCGTCGTAAAATCGTTTTGCCGAGCGAGGCAGGAATTATACTCGTGTGTGTGTGTACGTAACGAAGATATCGCACGGCGCTGCTGCTGCTGCAGTGATTAATAAACTCGAGAAAATGCGTGCGTATATATGTATTACATTAGATATACGTGTACGAACTGAGCCCGAATCGAGCGAGTTTAAAAAAGTTACGAAAAGGGAGAGACACGAGGAAGGGGCCGAGAGGTTTATGAGCCGAGCACTCGACGTACACATTCATAAACGTCGATTTAATTCAACGGTATCATAAAGTTCACTCAACTTTTTCCGGCTCTTTTTCTCCGAAATCCTGCGAGCGCGCAGGTAAGAAAAAGAGTACAAAAAAATAACACGTATAAAGATAGAGAAGAAGGAAAAGGTATAATAGTATCCCTCTTTCCTCTTTTTTTTTTTTTTTTTGAGGGAGCTACCAACTTCTCTCGTATATATACAAGAGTCGAGAGTAGGAGAATAGAGATAGAGATAGAAAGGAAGAAAAAAGAGGAAAAAGTAGATGTATAAGTGAGCGAGTTATACACCCATTACCACGGCATAACTCACCAGCTGCCTAGGCATTATGCGCGCGCGCTATACCATGTGCAGTTGCACCCTATATATGTACGTACGTATATAAAACCCTATTGCACACGAATCGTCGGGGCTGGGCCATTTTATATATACTTTCGGCACTACCAGCTAGTTATAGACACTCGCACGTATACCTACAGTTGTGTGCACGTGTGTATGCGCGCGTGCATTAGAGCCGTAAATTCCACGTATGTGTGTGTGGGGGAGGAGGGGGGCGGACACGAGCTCCTTTAATTCTCTTTTCGTTCGCGAGCTGTGCAGCACATACAGCAGACTCTGGCATTAGTAGGTTACAGTATCTGACGTGGCGATAGCCACCCCCTCGATTCTCGCGCCCTATAACTGTTACTACTATACTGGGCTACTGCTCGCGCCTCTGGCTTTTTTGATAAGCACGTAAAAAAAAAAACAGTTTTTTTTTCTTTTCAAACCTCCTACCACGATTCCGCCTCCTCGTGGGCTAAAAATATATATCATAAACTCGGATCGATCGACGTGTAGACTCGCGCGCGGGTGATTAGTGAATTTTAAATAATCGACGCCCGTAATATCATAACGAGCACGTCAAAATTGCGATGGCTAGCTTCTCCTCCTCCTCCTCCTCCTCCCACACACCCCTCGACGCGGTGTATAACGATATAATAATAAAACGGACACGGCCCCGGAACGATGATCGTCGAGTCCGTGTGTGGCCTGAATATTATAAATGAAAATTACTCGTCAAATAATAGAGTCGTTATAACGATGCGCGCTCGAGTCGTATATGGGTACATTTAATAGAGAGTAGTTGGGCCACCGATCGAATAACTGAGTGTCAGGCAGCGAGTATCTATGTTTTCTTTTTCCCGAATTTTCCCAAAACGAGAGCATAACGTGTGTTCGAATAATTCAAATGGTATATAATCTCCGCCACACGGTGATGTGCGAATTATATTATAAACCCGCTGCTCGCGGCCGAACGTTGCACGCACGCGGATCGCGCGAGCTAATCTATCTGTGTCACGAATAATATACGTGTATGCACGCGCGCGCATCTTTTATAGCCCGGCGTACCACGACTGCGTGGTTTTTTTTTCGTTTGTCGTCGTTATTAGTATTTTTCACCGTCTTTCGTTTCGCAATATAATGTACGATATCGAGCGTTTCGCGGGCATTTTTCTCGTCGGCAATTAGGCAGCGCGCGCGCGTTCGTATCGATGCATATATGTCTGAGCACGTATACGCGAGGGCAAAATTGCCGTGGCGAATTATTTTTTATCGCTCTCCTGTATATATATATACCTCTTCCTTGCTAAACACAATATGCAACGCGCGAGCTGCAGCGGTATAAACGGTGTCGACTCTGCGGCAGCGTGATGGATCGTTTCTTATCGTTTTCACGCGAGAAAGTAGCTAATAAAATCGCTGCTTTTTCCTCGACAATTATATTTCCAAAGATGTGGGTCGCTGCGCACACATTTTGTATTCTCATATATTACATTGGCAAAATATTCCCGTTGCTCGGACTCTTTGTGTATTTACCAAAAGGTGTATACTTGACCTTCGAGTCGAGTGTCGTACGCAGCGAAATGACGGGGGAAAAAAGAAGGTTTTATATTAAGGCTCGCCTCGGCAGTCCGATTTCATTTATATTTGCCCAGTATAATTCAAAATGCAATAAAACATCAAAGCGAATCATTCCGACCGTTATGTACATATTTTCTTATTCCTACAACATACATTTATATAAAAGTACGGCTGTTTGCAGACTTGCCGCTGCCTGCTAGACCACAAGAGGCCCGAGACGAGAGCAAATATTTCCTCTCGGGAGTAGGTAGTAATAGTAGCAACAGTCAAATGAATTCGTCCAGCAGCGGCAGCAGCTCTGTCGCGCTCGAGTGACGGAGAGAAGATCTTTTGTCGTTATTATTACATAAAAGTTTACACAGCTTCGCGTGTATACATACAGATATATATATAGATGGACATCTTATACATGTATACAAATGCCTCGAGGCGTTTATGTTCGAAAGCCAACTTCGCGCGCGCACGCGGGAAAATCGCTATTATATAGTGGTTTTACGCGCGAGACGCGATGACACGCACGTTTCGCGGGTCTTTTGTCGTTCGATATTATAATAGGTGGTAATTGAGGCCGCGAGGAACTCGTTTTTATTTTTGCTAAAATAATAATTTTCCCAAAAACCGCGTGAATCAACGTAATAAGTACGTCGAGTATCGGCAAACATACGAAATACAATCAAACGGAATTGCATCACGTTTTCGTCATCGTATCGTTGTCGTTACTGTCGTCGAGTATTCTTATAGCTGAGCTACACGTACACCAAGGACAAGCGCATAAAGTTTTTTTTTCACTATAGAGACTCGTTTGTCGAGAATGATTATTGATTCGCGCGGGAAAAATCTGCGCTCGCTCGTGCGGATCGAGTAAAACGAGCCGACGATCGTCGTAATAGACGGCGCTAGAATACGCCAAGATTCAACATTGTCTTCGCAAACGCGAGATAATGTTAATGGAATTATTTTTAACGTACGCATCATTACGATCGTTTGTCAAACAAAACAAAAACAACAACAATATGTACAATAATAAGCGCAGTGGTTTAACACGCATGACAAGTGCGTATGAAACGTACAAATGTAAAATCGTTATCGCCATCCGACCTTACGCGCGTTTGCCTGCGTAACGAGCTTACCTGCGCTCGATAAATCACTTGTCATAAATGTCAAATGTGTTGCAAGTGCTTTGCACGTATGTCTGGTGCAACGCAAGATAGTCAAGGGGGACCAACTGCAACGCCAGCCAGAGACTGAATATTATATGTCAAATATAGTAACGATTCTATGATGCTCTATCGTGCTCTATTCTACTATGCTGCTGCTGCTAGTGCTCTTGACCGAGACAATTTCGACGAAAAAATCATGCCGAGTGAAAGCACAAGGCCCGTTACGGTATATACGCAAACGCAAATAATTCTGAAGCCGTGGAACTTTTTTCAAGTGCTTTACGCGCACACACGGGCATTAGCTCACCTTGTGTGCTTGAATTATTATTCGACGCGACGCGAGTCGACGGCTTTTAATTGGCGTATTCGACTATATACGTAAAAATGAATGATGCAAGGTACAAAACATTGTCGAGCGTAAATATATACCAGCTTCGATGATTGTACACGCGCGCGAACAGAGATTCGCGCGAATAAAATCATCGCGTCGATAATTTGTTGCCGTTGTTGTTTTTTTTTTATTTGGCTTTTTGTTCTCACTTCGTCGCAAAATCGTCGCTTATTTTCGTCTCGCTCGACTTCCGATCGCGTGAGTCAACGCGCGATGTGCTTCAATGTGCGTCGAGTTAGCGCCGCGCGACACACGACTGCGACTATCGCGCGCAGCTCTTTTATAGAATAATAATATAATAAAGCGTATCGGATGGTATTTTTCTGCCGAAGTGGTCAGCGATTTGAATTTGTGTATAATATGTGCGGTTTTTGTTTGCGATCGAAAGCGGACGACGGCGCGTGTTTGACAACGAGTACGTATCGCGGTAGTTAATACTTTGTGAATTTTTTGGGAATTTTTTTCTCTTTTCTCTTTTTTTTTTTTTTGATAAATCGAAGGATCCTCGATTACGTTACAGCCTTTGTCGTTATTGCCAGTGATTTTTCCGAAAACTTGTCGCACAATGCGAAAACACTCACTCTATTGCGATATACACTACTTGTGTATACATCGACGCGCAAACTTCACAGCACAACTCGATGACACTACTCTCTCGATCGAGCACATCGCCCACCAAAATCATTTATCAAACGCTATTTAATTATACGCGAGATAGAAACGAGAGAAAAAAGTACACGGAGAAAATAGCGAAAGAAACTCCATACACACACACACACACGGACACTGGGGAGAAAAGCTCGAGAGATGCGTGTGAGCGTGTCGCACACACACAAGCTCGGCAAATGTACTGACGCGGCGGAAAAACCTGCGGCGCGGCGAGAAAAAAAAACCGGCATCGGAATCGATGAGAGAGCGAGAGAGCTGCTGCTGCGAGAGCTCAGCAGGCAGTAGTAGTAGTAGGTATATAGAAGTAGTCGGAGGAAGAAGAAGAAGAAGAAGAATAAAAAGAAGAAGTAGAAGGAGGAGGTAATAATACGACGATGCGTGAAAGTGAGCGTGATGCGCGAGACTTACGACGTCGACGACGACGACGACGATCGAACATAACGGTGGGGAAAATTTTGCGCAAAGTGGGAGGAAATGCACGTGTCGCTGCTCTCTGTGTGCTCGCTTATATATCAGACTTGCTGCTGCTGCTGCTGCTGTGTTGCAGCGCAGAGAGTATTCTACGCTCGAATGCTAATGAGAGCTGCTGCACTGATGTAATGTATAATGGATCGCGCAAGCGGCGGTGATTTTCAACTTCATTTGTTCACGGAAATCCAGTGTGTGCGTTGTTTCGCTTGTAACCGTATTGTAATGCGGTACGGATGAACAAATCGAAGGAAAAATTGTTCGTAAATAGAATCGTAAGCGTTTATACGTGAGTAGGCGATTTTTGCAGATCGTAAATTCAATTTTCAATGCAGTATTGAGTTATTTTCAGTTGAAATTTTGTATTGTTTAATGATTTTCAGATTTTCCCTTTATCGTCACATGAAAACAAGCGTGAAAAATGAAAACGAAAGAAAGTTTAGAGCCAGTGATTTTCTATTTTGGCACAAAAAAAATTTTTGGCTAAGACTACAATTTGAGGATTTAAAACACACGTAAGAACTCGACATATGCTAATCCGGAATGTAACGTTTTTTCAACATTTTATGGGCTTATGATGCTCCACTTTCGATTTTTTATTTTACAAACAGCTTTTTAAGATATAAAAATCATGAACATTATATATATTGTAAGGTTGTTCTTCGAAATAATTTAAACTACGACGCATTTATTAACAACAATGATTTTACAGTTGCGGAGGATTAAACGTTCTACATACAGCGTGAATCCTAGAAATAACTGGGCGACTTATACAAATGTTTTTACTTAGTCACTTGTAGATTTACAGAAATAAACATACTCGCCATCTCGTGGTGGAATCTTGAAATAGTATTGTCGAATTCAAAGTGGTTGAATTTAGTCTTAATTCGTGGCAATTTTCAGGTCATTAAAAAATTTGTAAAAGTTAAGAAAAAGGCTATAAACCAACGGTATTTTAAAACATTTTAAAAGGTATATTTTGGACCGTTGGATACTGTCCCAAAAATGATGGTATTTTTCAAAGCTGTATTTGAACTTATACAATTATCTTCACATTTCTACTAGCAGATTTATAGGTAAATATATTCGCCATCTAGCGATGCACACTGGCTCAGTACTTATCCTCAGCACCGATGCATTGTTTTTCAATGAAGATTTGATGTAAAAGTACGAAAAAATTCAATGTCTGATTTTACATTAAATCTGTATTAAAATTAAGGTTTTTTAAACAATGTATACTTCGGCAGGAAAAGTGGCACCCGGTCGAGATGAAAATTCGAGAGGATTTTAATAATGAACCGGCTTTAAGCTCGCGCGAAGCGCCTCAAAATAATACAATAAGTTTGAAAGTGCCAGTTCAGCAAACTACGCTGTAGGCAGAATCGCTACAAATGAAGTGGACGAGGAAAAGAGAGATAATGAAGAGGACAATGTTCTTTCGTCGGAGGCTTGAATTCTTTTTTTTTTTTTTTTTTCATCTTTTCATTCATTTGAAAATTAATATAATATCGACTCGCGTACTTGCAGTATACATTCGTTAATCTCAGGGTGGAGTCAAGGGCGCGCAGCGCATGTTATATCTATACGCGCAAACTATAAAACGGGGGAGGACGTGGCGCGCGGAGTCGCATAAAATCTGTTCAACACATAACTTCCGTATGATTAAACAGGGCATTTATGGAAATAATTAAAGCGTCAAGTTTCGTTGCATTTAAACTCCATGTATACATAGCCAGCGAGTTTCTCTTGCAGCGCGCGAAGTTTCGACTCGGAACTGCTGCACACACACACACACACACACTCACAGACACATCTATAGTAGAGAGCAGCCTGGGCGGCGGCGCACATCGAGAGCAAAGAGCAATTTGATGACGAAACTATTAGTAACGAGTGAAATTAGAAGGCCAAAGATACGATAAAGTTCCCTTCTCCCGCTAGCCCTCCCCGTCTTCCTTCCACCTCCCGTATAGCCGTGTTTCGAAGCTGCGATAATTTAACGACAAAGTCAAAGGCGACAGCAAGTGCGCATAGAAGTTTCGGCCTGTGTAACAGATATCGGCATTAAAACGTTTGATTTGGGCACCTCGCGCGCGTGCGATAGGACGAGAGAATGTGAGAGAGGAAAAATTTTATCCCTGCGTATTCAGTTGCTACTCACGCGGATTTTATATTATATATATAATGGAAGAAGCCGATACGAGCTGGAAATGCTTTTATATACATTTTCATTTGTTCTCCTGCGCGCAAGATCGTAATGGCCTATCGTTGTTCGCGTCGCGTTTTTTTTTTCACGACGGTCCTCTATTTATACGCGCTATGCACAAAGTTCTATATATGGCAGTTGTAAACGCGTGCATTATCTATGTATAAATATGGTGTAAAGGAAGAAGGCAAGTCTCGAGTTGTATAAATTTTACGACGAAACTACGAGCCACGCGTCGTACACCTGAATCCGTCAATTTTAATGTTGATTTTTTCGTTGCCGTTGTTTGTTGCAGGTGTATCCATGATGTAAGCGCGCGTGAATTTCTTTTCGCGCGCAAATGGTGACACACACACACACACACACACATACAAAAACGACAAGCGTCCCGCGGGAAAAGTTGCTGCACCGGTGCTCGGCAGTTACACAGGCAGTAGCAGCAGCAGCAGCAGCAGCGAAAAGTAAAACTCGTTGTGTCGCGTCTCTCGATCCCAAAAGTATTGCCAGCTCGCTGCTGCTTGTTTCTCCTTTATTTATTTTTTTTCTCTCTCGCTCTCTTTTTGACAAGGACGTGATGTAAAAACTTTTATCATCTGAAATTCGAAACTCGAAAGAGAGAGAGAGAGAGAGAGAGAGAGCCGCGGCGGCGGCATATTTCTGGAAGATTTGCGAAATATTGGCCGTGTCGTTTTCTGCGCAATTAGATTAGCCGTTTTCCAAGCAGGGGGTATAAGTAGCTACTTGTCAAAAGTCGAACGAAAAAAGTTCGCTCGCGCATTATTTCGATTACTCGAGGCACGGGCGGCTATTTTACTTTTTTCCATTAGTTTCTCTATCGTAGTGTTAGGTATGTGTACATAAAAAAGTGTATGCTTCACGACAGAAATGCTTTCAATATATTAACGGTTGGATGACTCGATGCATACATATAAATCTATAGTATAATTACGAATGATGCTCGAAGCTCTCGAGCGCAGCATATATATCGATCAAACATCGTTATATACATTATCATTGAAAAATCAATCTCATCATCGTCATTAATTTCATTTATTCCGTCGAGTACGGAGCCACTCCATTTATATATTTCCGAGCTTGCGGTGGTGGCGCAATATATATAAGGCAGCAGAGCAGAGCTCTTCAGATGGATCAGCAATGGGAAAAGTGAGTTCCGCTCGCTGCACTCTAACGCAGATATATACATATATATTTTATGCACACGCAAAGCCCACGAACGATTCCCGTTGTTAGGAGAATATTTTGAATTCAGCCTGACTAATTAACTACAGTAGTGGTGTGTGCCCTACTCCTATTACCATATAAACCATTCCGAACTTTGCAGCCTTTCAATGCGCGCGCGTGAGAGATAGAGCGGCGGCGAGGGAAAGAGAGAAATAACATCTCTCTGTGGGGCGGGCGAGCCTTTCACGTGCGACCGCGCAAGACAATGGGTCGAATCAACTTTTGAAGTTGCACACACACACCCCACTCCACCACACAGCTGGTGAAAAAAATTGGATTTTAAGACTCTTCCTCTACTTTTCCTTTTTTAGTTTTTTTTCAGGGATGAGAGGTGACATATATAAATTCAATTGAAAACGTATAAAATACTATACTCCAGGCATTTTACGGGGACACGGATAAAAGAATCTTAATAGTTGGCTTATCAAAAATTACGATAATTGAGTCATCACGGGTCTCAAGGGTCGACGTGTAAATTGCAATCAATTGCCGGAGGGATTATTCGCGCAAAAATTTGTGCACCGAGATTATTTTTAATACAAATTTATCGATACTGCCGGCGTAAAAAAAGGAAGGAAAAAGTAATTATACATTATAATGAAATCGATTATATCAATTCCGAGGAGTCTCGTTTCGAGAAAAACGATATTAATGACTGCGCACTGCAGCACCGCTACACGTTACTGTATATACACACACAGTTGCCAGAGCAGCCAGTGATTAACCACCGAATTTTTCAATAATTTTTCCCACTTTGATAAATTGTTATTGTATTTAAGGGAGAAGCGGAGATCGCATCGATCATTTTTGCGCCAAAAAACGTCAATGCTCGCGGGCGCAATTAATTACCTTCAAGTTTAAGCTCGAGGCTGTTTCGTATTATTTATAAATATTTTGCAATACACACACACACACAAGCGCGTAATAGTCGTGCTACTGCTCGCGGTGACTAACAAATGCGGTTGTTTGTCTTCTTTTTTTTTCCCCCCGCTGCTATATACACAATCGAAGTATACATCTTGGGCTAATAAGTACACAAAGAGGCTACATAATTAATCCCCCCGTTGTTATTAATATAAAACGGGGCAAAGCCTTCGTTTCAATTTTTGACACAAATATATCGTTCATATATATAAACCTCAGTGGCCCAGGTCATGAGAGAAAATGCAATCTTGGTTTTTCGCTCTGTTAGACGCGCCGGTCGCGTTTTCCCTATATATAAAGAGAGCGTATAAGGGACTCTGTACACCGATGTATATGCAGTGGTGGCGGCGGCATCAGCAGCAGCAGCCGGCGGTTTCTGCC